CACATTCAGACACCACAATGGCTTTTGGCAAAGTAATTGTGTGCACAAAGCAAATACTTCAGTGGTAAACTATTCATGAAACCAAGAGCATATTCACCAGTCACTGAAGCCCAGAGACCCAGATAATGAAAGAACAGACTGTATTTCTAGGGATATTTTTACTTATGCAAAAGACTTTTTTTAAAAAATACCTTCCATTGAACTTGTACCAGTTATGAGAACCAATTGGAAGACCTCAGGGCTGTATAATCTGAAGAACCCAGATTTTCTGCAAATGTTGTGCTCCGTATGTTAAATCTGATAGACCACAGTTTTGGTATTCCAAAACTTTGAAATACTTGTCTTCCTTTTTATCTGGCTTTATATATTGGTGTGGCTGTTAATGCATGAAATGGGCTCTGTCATTATTTCCCTTTCTATCTTCTCAGAGATAAGTAAACAAAAGAAAGTATTTTGGGCTCAAATTTATTTGATTTCTAACCTAACTAAATCATAACCACAACTTCAACCACTCTAAAATTTACTAGTAAGCTTGAAAATTTTAGCATTGGGTTCTTGAATGTTTGGTGAAAGCCACTTCTCAATACTATATACATTTAAGAAATTTAAAATACAATTTTGTCAGTTGTTTGATTTATCCACTGGGAAAAAAAAAAACAAAACAAAACATTACTGCAACACACTGTTCAAGAACTCAGGAAACTAGGTTCTAACACTACTGTTTTATACTGCTGGTGACAAATTGTTCAGTCAAAAACTGAAATGGTACCATGTGATGTGTACAAAATATACTACAAAATGGAGGGCAGCATATTACATATAATCACAGAATGATCTGAAACCAATCATTATTAATTGCATTAATTTATAAATTATAAAATGGTAAATAATATTGCCAAATAAATTTATGACCATTTGTGAGTGACTGATTGCTACAAAAATCAGGTAGAATTTATCTAATTTATTTTATTACTTGCACTTTCTGAGCTCAAAATTAACTTTTTACTGTATTTAAATGCAGCTGGGTATAATAAACAAATTTGAAAAATTGTCAGAAAGTAAACCTAAACATTGGGATTAAGAACTGTACTGTATTCTGCACCAGAATTACTGATTTTTGTCCCAGTACTTCAGGCCATCCACTGTACCTAAGCACAAATTGTGGCATTGAATAGTAACAATATAATAAACTGTTCTTCCCCTTCTTCCTAACAGTCTTCACAAGAATATTCCTTCCATCTCTCTCGGCTTATTTCAGAAATTGTTTGAAATAATCAGAATGATTTTCCTCTTTACTAATTGCAACTGACTAGCCTTAGCATCTAATCCACTGTTTGTTTGGTTTTCCTCCTTTTACTTTTAAAATATCCAAGATTTTCTTGTGGTGTTACAAGAAATCACTTCCTCTTTACTGGGTTGCTTTTGGAGTGTTTGGGCTTTTTAAAAATTTCTGGTATTATTATTTTGATATTTGTTTGGATTTAATCTTTAAGGGTGATAACAACCATTGTAACTCAGTCTCTGAGAACACCTCTATGGATGGTCTGTGGGAAAATGGTTTGAATATTTGTCGTACCTTGTCCTGTTTATCTGGAAATATTTTCAGTGTAAATGTCCATTTAGTGGATCAGTGGATAACTAACAACAGGGGCAGCTTAAGTAACAAGCTAATCTATGGCAATCTTCACACTTCATCAGCAGAAATCTACAAGGTAAAAGACTCATTTGTTCCACAACCAGTTTTACAAAGAGAAGATGACTTAATGAAGACATTTTCATGTACATAACACAGATGCTTACTCACTGTCACATATTTTGTGTGTTTTATATGACACAATGCCTGCATGTGTAAACAGCAAGGCAAAAACTTTATGACAATGACTCTGATTATGCCTCAGTCTTTCTGAGTTTTCTTCTTTTACTCTGAGGTATATTGCTAGTAGCAGCAATAGTGGGGGGAGGAGTAATTGTTCTTTTTAAATTTAACATGCAGAAACTAACACTGTTACTGCTCATGCAAGAGCTGCAGACACATTAGGTGAGAGTTAGCTGCACAATCTAAAGGACAGCTCAGGGCACCAGCTGCACATCAACACCAGGCATCTTAACAAAGGCAACTACACGGTACAGCTACCCTCATCCAACATTTTCATTCCAGACCTGCTCTGTCACCCGCAGTACCTCCTCCTTCCTTTCATTAACCTGCTAATATCCAAACTTATGTATCTAGGCTTCCGACATTTCAAAGTCCCTGGATGTTCCCACAGCTCTGCATGAGCTCTTCCTTTCCAGGACACAATCATCTCAGGAGTGTGATTTCCGAAACAACGTGACTGTCACTAAATAGGCAGCTGCAATCAAGACTTATTTTCAGCTTGGTGAAGTTGATGACAACTGACAAGTGGACCTTTATGCGTAAAGGGCTTTCACAATTCTCTTGAGCCTTGTTATCATAGTGTTGGCACTATCTCACTGCAATTATGCCTTGGTAGCTACTGCCAGAGCTGTTCAAGAAACTCTCTGAGCTTGGTCCAATGCACACATTTAATTTCTACACAACTTTTGCATCCTAGAGTATTATGAGTTACACTCCCATACCACAACACCCAGAAATGCTTTTCTAGCCAAGTACAAACAGACGATTATTAGAAAAAGTCGATCACTACTGATCTAGCATTCTAGGCATCTAGATTTGTTCTTGATTCAGCCTACAAAAATGTACCAAAACCATTACATACTTTGGATCATATTTGTATTGGTGTGAGGATTTTGGTAGTCACACTTCTAACAACATAGTGGCATCATCATGATTTCTAATTTAAAATATGTGCCACATATCTCTCCACAGAGAAAATAACAATAGCAGCAATCCAAAAATTGCAAAGGCTTCAATCTCTGCTTTTTGCACAACGTACAGTTACCACAAAATCCTACCATGTAGTCACTATTAAAAGCAGTAGCTATTTTCTTTATTAACGCTGGTCTTGGCACACAACCTCACAAGCATGATCCACACACATGAACAGCATGATCTGGAAGTATGTTTGTTTCTTCCACAGCCACGTTAGCAGGCTGCAGCATTAACTAAGGAAGCCACAAGCAAGCATGAAGAACATGCAGGACTCTTATACTAATTGTTTCATGGAATTAGACAAACGTCTCCTTTACTTTCAAGTAAAATGCACTTGGCTACGTGCAATTAACCCAGAAGGACAATTCTATAGTTGCTACTATTCTTCAATGTGTATTTTGTATCATTTGTTTCATAATCTGAGGAATAGGAGACAGTAAAATGAGATGATGCCACACTCCTGACATAATTTCCATTTTCTAATTTAGAAGGCTTGCCATCAAAAACACAGATCAAAATGATTCAGAGAAAAGGCTAAAGCAAAGAGGGTATTTGTCGCATAAAGGACTGGCTGGCATATATTTGAGAGTAGTGAATTTGATCTTAAGGCATTTCCAAGTAGCACAGTTAAAAGCCTAAGATATGAAACATCTGAGTATTTTGTTCCCTTAGTACTATTTTTTTCAAGTTCTATTATGGTGTTGTTAGGATTCTAACATATGTGTCCTCTTAACTTACTTCTCTTTTTGTGCTCGTGTTCAGATGAAAATATTTGAGCTGGAAAATGGTATTAGATGGTAGCAAAAATTCATACGGTAACACAACCAGAAAGCTGCTGGAAGAGAGAAGGCCTTAGCTGTGCAGATAACCTACGTTCTTTGAAGAGCACTGGGTAATTTGTGCAGTTACCCTGCAGAGACCTGTTACCAGACAGCTCAGTCCAGACAAACTCGTCTAACAGGAGTGCAAAGGGACTGGTTCATAAAACTCTTCTGATTATTTTTACCAATAGATATTTCTTTCCAACAGAGATGCTGCCCTTGCAATGGCATGGAGATCTTACCTTTAGTTATCTTCTATTTCCTTTTATTTTCCAGTTACAGAAAAAGACTTAACAAACCTCATCATCAAGGCAATGATGGAAACAAGATTAATATGTCTTGGGAAAAAATAACACAGTGTGGATGTGTAATCCAACACATCAGCTGGGGGAAAAGTTTGTGGTAGCACCTTCAGAAGCCTGACACCAAATGCAAGATGCAGCACATTCACTGTGTAAGTGCTCCCTGCACTCACCTTGTCCCCAAAACCACCTCAGTGGCAATGTTCACACCGGACACTCACAAAGCTTTCTCACGTGGATTTCATCACAGAACTATAGAATGGCCTGGGTCAGAAGAAACTTCAAAAGTCATCTAGTTCCAAGTCCCCTGCCATGGGCAAGGGCACATTCCACTAGGCCAAGCTGGCCTTGAACACTTCCAAGAACGGGGCATCCACAGCTTCGCGGGGCAACCTGCGCCAGCGTCTCATCCCCCTCACAGCAAATAACTTCCTCCTCAGATCTACTCCAAACCCACTCCCTTTAAGTTTGAACCCACTCCTCCTTATGCAGCTCTGGGTCCTGGCTCTGCTTCTCCGCTTCCCCGTCCGCCCCCGCTCCCCTCCGGCCTTTCCGCCCGGGGCAGCGGCGTTCCCGCTCTGTGACGTCACTTCCTCCCGCTCGGGCCCGCCCCTCGGGGCCGCGGGCACCGGAGCGAGGGGAGGGGGAGGAGGGAGAGGAGGAGGGGGAGAAGGAGAAGAAGGAGGAGAAGAAAGAGCAGAAAGAAGAGGAAGAGGAAAAGGAAAAGCAGGAGAACGAGAAGGCGGAGCGGAAGGATCCGAAGGAGGAGGAGCGGAAGGAGGAGGAGAAAGCCGAGCGGAAGCGGAAGGGGGAGGAGATGGCGGCGGGGGCCTCGGCGACGGCGACGACACCGATCCGGAGCGCGGGCGGGCGAGACGGCCGCGGGAGGGCGGAGCCGCCGCTGCCGCCGCCGCAGCGACCCGGCGGCTGCTCGGAGCAGTGACTGCCCGGCCGGTCCCCTCGCCGCCCCTCCCGCAGGCCGCCCGGCCCTGCCGCCCCCGCCCCGGCGCCTGCGACGCTCCCCCGGCCCTGCCCCGGCGGCCCCAGCGCCGGGCAGGTCCCGGGCCCCCGTTCCCAGCGGTGCTGAGCCCGGGGTCCCGTCGGTGTGCCGGTGATTATGCGTGGTTTGCCGCGGACGCTGTATCTCTCCTCCCGCTGATGTCCCTGCTGTCCCCCCGCCTGGGCTAGAGCAGGCTGAGCGCCAGCTCCTCTGGAAATCTTCAGCCATGTATTTCCTCAGCGGCTGGCCCAAGAGGCTCTCGTGTCCTCTGGAGTCCCTGGAGCGACCGCTTCACATCCAGACGGATCCCCAGAGAGCTTTCTTCGCAGTTTTGTTCCCATCTCAGCTAAGCATCTGGTACTGCAGAGTGAGTATCGTTTTATAAGCTCTCGGACGCTGCTCTCCCAGCTGGAGAAGATCTGTCGTTTGCTAATTTTTTTTCTTCTTCCAGAGACAGTTGTAAAATTTGATGCTAATTTTACAGGATATTCCAGTATTTGTGAAACTGAGCGGTTATCCACGATGTTTAGTGATAGCAGTGTAGGCTTAAGAAAATATGCAACACCAATTTGCTTACAGTTAACGCTGTTTTTTCCTAAAGAATGAGACTTCCAAGAGGCTTTTTTTTTGGAGACTGTACATCCTGCTTGTGCTTAACATAAGGAGTATTTGTAGCAGTGTAGTGTTTTTTGCATGTATGTTTTGTGTCTTTCACCTTTGTATTGTCTGTGTTTTATATAAATGAACATATGAATATAGAAGATATAAAACACTCTTTGTAAAACATGGAACAAATGCTATCACTACCCAGAATGTTGTAACATAGAAATTCACAAAGTTTTCTTTTTATGAAAAGTTTAAAAGTTTTGTGGCTCTGAAGAAGACTTGTCATGGCTTTTGCATGGAAGGTGCTGGTTTAGCTATATCTAGCTTGAAACTGTGTGAATAATTGACATTAAGTGCCTTGCTTTTAATTCACACAGTTTTAGTCTGGTAGCAAAAATGCTGTTTGTCAGTTTGATTTGATGCAGTCAATAAAAACTGTGATACTGACTTTAAATTTTGATGCTGGATCCTTTTAAATACTGCCTAGATTAGATCCTAAATCTGTCTATAAATATCTCTAGATCCAGGTGGTTTATAGAGTTCATCTCAGATTACCAGGGAAAACCAACAATCCAGTTTTAGAAAGCTGATACTGAAAGATGTCAAATGACAGTCATAGCCATAAAATCTTGTTTTAAGTTATGCAGTGATTTCATCTCTTTGTTTTACTGTGCACACTAAGGCTGTTCATTAGTTCCCGTCTGGGGTGTTCATGCTGTTTTTTGAACCTAGGCAGGTATCCAGCTAGCACATGATCAGCTTTGCTGTGTGAACATCATCATCTGCCCTCCGTTTTCTTCAGTTTGTGGCACACAGCATATATGAAATGTACACTATTGAGTTTTTGCCAGTTGTTGAATCTGTCAGCACAGCAGAACTCATCTTTTTCGTGGAAGGACATAGAAAACAACAGGCTCATTAAATGCTTCACAAGATGTACCTTGTTTTCTAGAATGTAGTTTACTTTATGGTCTGTTTTCAAGGACGAGGTTTGTTAGCTTGCATGCTTAGACTTGTTTAGAAACGTTAAACATATGACGCGCTACAAACAGCACCAGAAGAATTTACTTGGTGCAGAAGAGTTGACTAAATTTACGGGTCATTTATTTGTATTTTTAAAATAGATTTTGATTCCATTTGTAATGGGTACTTTTGAGGAAGGTGTTGACTTTGCAGGCCTGACGGCTGACTGATCTTAAACTGAAAAATGTGTTACAATCTCATGGCCTCTGTGGACAACTGGCTGTTATCAAAATCTGGAATAAGGAATAAAGGTCAAAGTCATTTTAAAAGATAATTTCTTGCATTATTTTTATGTATCTAGCTGGGATCCTGAATGTGGTTTTTTGGTTTTTTCCCTCCCAGGCTTTTCTTTTTTTTTAATTTTTTGTTTATTTTTGAAGGTGATGTTTAACTTTGATAAAATAACTGCATTCTAGAAAATGTTTTCATTGGTCAGAAGTACAGTCTTTGGAACAAGGATAAATTCTGTCACATTGCACTAACTTGATTTTTGTCACAGAAAAGCCTTCAGGCTGGTGTTCTTGTTAAGACTTGTTACTATCTCAGCTATGTATTGAAGGTTTCATTTAAGAATGAGATTATAAGACTGGGAAAATTTCTGTTTTGAAATTTTCAGAAACAGAGCTCTTTGAAATGCTTCCAGGTGTGTGAGTTTACATTCAGTATGTGTATTTTTAAGGTGACATAGTGAAGTTTAAAACTCCTTTTCACCTACTGTGCACTAAGAAATAGTGGAACTAAGGAAAGGTGATCCCAAAGTGTGGATTGTTTCCTGTTTTGGAATAAATATAGGTATTAAGACTCAAAACAGGGTAACTGGTGTTGAAATAAAACCAGATGGAATTCTGCTACTGTTTTGAACCAAAAAGCTATTGACTTCTTACATGTTATGAGGGATTGGGTTATGGATAGAGAGGATCACTGAGGTGAATGATTTTGATCAGGCACTAGTATTGGTGAAAGGTTGTTGAGCGCAAACCCTCAGATATGTTGACTTTTATTTATGAATTACATACATGTGCTACTGTACTAGTGTACCCATTATCAAGCATACACAACATAGTCTTAATTTTTTTTGTCTGTTTAGAAGGGAGCTACATCGGTCACCTAGTCCACCTGCCTGACCAATTCTGGGCAACCAGAAGTTAAATCATGTTATTAAGAACATTATTTAAATGCTCTTATACCCTAGCAGACTCTAGGCATCAACCACATCTCTTGGATGTCTGTTCCAGAGTTTTAAAAGTAACAAGAAAGAATGAGGTAATACCAAAATCAACACATTTTAAAATTTTTACTTTATTGTATTTTTTAGTGGTATAAAAAATCCTTTCTTGCTCCCTATTGGATTTTGTTAAATACCCCACTGTGGAGACCTCTGCTCCAAGCATTTTCCTTAAATCAGAAGTTTTAGGTCTACGTACCGTAGATAGTTTCTTGCCACTTTAGAGAAAGCGTAGCTATTTTCATTGATAGCATGGAAAAGCTTGTCTAACATTTTCATTTGGGTAGTTTAAGTACTTGAATGCTTGAAATGAGAAACATCAATGAATTATAGAACCTTTCTGAAATGCTATAATGAGATAATTGCTATTTAATAGATTGACTTGGGAACTGAAGATGAGGTTTCACAAGGCAGCTGTGCAGTCCTATGTGTTATCATCTTTCCTGCTTGCACCTCTGTTTTAATGGAGCTTGGTGGACTAGTGATGGTATTTTACAGGGCTGTTAAGCTTAATGAACAAATAGAAGCCAGTTTATTTAGTTGATGAAAGAATGAAAGAAACATTTTAATTGGTCCTTTGAAAGTGTGTTAGTCCTTTGACAGTTACAGCTTTAATTTAAAATTGGTTTAGTTATCTTTTGAATTCTGGAAGTTCACCCATAAGGATCTAGGTACTAAGAGATGAGGTAATGTAGCTAAGGAAGAAGGTGTCATAGATGAGTGGATTTCTCTGCCTGACCTTTGACAAGTGGGTTTTGTGCAGCAAGAATAGTCTGCTGATGTAGTTGTACATATAAATATTGTTCAGCATTTCCTTTCTTTAGTATTAACAAACTTGTGAGAATGACAGAAATAAGTACTGGCCTTGAATATTTAATGAAAACTCCTGTAGGTTGTTGGGACTATCTGCTATGACTCTGTCAGTCAAAACCAGTTTTGTCAGCCCTTTCGAGCTAAGAATAGTTTGTCCCATCTGCTCATTCAGAAGAGAATTCTTCATTACCTGTATGCTTCTCCTCCTTTACATTTACTCTTTTCTTCTTTTTTTTCTTTTTTTCTAATGATCTGATACTGAGTCTGAGCACCTAAGTGAACTAAAACAAGCTTTTGAGAAAGAATGCATGTCAGAATTCTAAATTGTCAAATAGTTGGTATTCATTTTAAGTGTTGTGTAAGTTGATAGACAGCTCTCACAACTCTCTCATATGTGTTCTTCAGTCTCTAGCTGTTGCCATACTAGAGTTGAAGTCAATGTGTGCTTTAAATCTAAGCATACAGTAAGATAAAACAGGGTACTGGGCTTCTGTTGGGGAAGTGATCTCCGTAACCTGGAGTTTTGCCACACTATAAAAGGAGTTACTTGTGACACAGTGCATATGAATAAATACATTAAAATTATCTGCAGTTGTTTCTGTAGTGTTTTTTTTACTTATGAGATCTGTTAAAAAGAAATGTTTTCACTACACTTTCAAGATTATGTTTTCGTCTCAGAACTGTAAGCAGAATAATTTACAGAATTATTGTGCATGGCTTTTTCTTAATAGAATTGGATGCAGCCTCTGGAGACTTTTTGTCTATTTGATTGCAGAATGGGACAACAGATGTCTTGATATAAGTTGTTGTGTTGGCTGTGTATTGTGGGCAATATTAAGATACCCCACTTACTGCTTCTGCTGTATTTGCTTCCTTAGTAGTTTAACCCCCAAAATGCTGATCTCCTATTTATACACTTCAGACACTTGTCTGAGAAGGCAATTTCTTTTTATTTGTCAGTAACAGTAACAGTTATGCTGTTGGTTCTATTAAAGGGTACATTTGTGATTACATAATGAAAAAAAAAGGTACATTGATGAATTTATTTAATTAAATACAAAATTGTCATGTGGTTATTTAATAGGACTTACAGGCTTTCAGTGTCTCCTGTGTTATAAAATAGATGACCCCTGAAAGCGGTGTCATAATTACATGCGTGATGGGAAAATGCATTCTCGGTTATGACTTTTCAGTGTCCAGTTGCATGTAAGAGAAAAGCAAAGATGTATAGACTATGCCTTTACTTTTTGGCAGCATTGTTGAGCAGTAGGTTAATGGAAAACTTTCATTTGGGAGAGGTAGTGGTGGACAATTCTGTACTTTGGTTTTCTGAAATATTTCACAGTAGCCATGAAACACACACTTGGAAGCTGTGTCTGCTCTGTTGGGTGGATCTTCTGTTGATTCTAAGCTTTCCAAACACTTCCAAAATTAAAGGAGTTATGATTTTATAATTAATATTGCTTTTAGAAATTCATTTTTCACCACCTTGTATCTCTGTTACTGACAAGACGGTCTTTTGTGGTCTATTTATACAATTTTTTCTGTTCCTTATGTGCACATGCTTGCTTTTCTCTATATAACTTTTCTGTTTCATTAGTTTGTAATTTTACAAAGCTTCAGCATTTAAAGTGAATCACAGATCATATAGTGATAAAATAAAGTGCACGGTGTCACCAGGCTTCTGTTCTGTTTTGTTGTTTTCTCCCAGCTTTATCTTTGTCACTTAGATTATAAGCTCATCTGAACAGCATTTTTGATTTTTGTCTTATGCCTACAGCCTAATGAAATGTTAAAGCATTTGGCATATAGAACTAAAGAGAACATTGGTGTTTTTCAAAGAAATGGCTTCTGTATCCTCCATGAGATGGATTTTTGATGTCTAGAGTAATACATGGTCAGGGGATGAGAATATTAGGTTTTAACAATTATCCACAGTCATGCAGTTCTTGGATTGAAGTTACATTAAGAAACCCAAACCTGTACATAAGACCATGTTGCGTATGTGCTGTCATGTCATGTGTTTGCTTTTTAGAGTTTGTAGTTTGCTACTGTATTTGCTGACCTACTTGTAAAATCAACAATTCACAGAGTTTGTCACGAACCTGCAGTCAAACCAGAGAATCTGGTTTAAGGAAACTATTTTCTTTCATTATTTTATATTCTGTCAAATTATTTTACCTCTTTCCATTTGGTAATGTGTTTTTTTCTGTGGCAGTGTAAACATCTCAATTAGGATGCTTGCTTGTGGGAGGACTGTTCAAGTCTGTTCAAGGCTACTTGCCCTCTTTAAAGAGGGCCTTTGCAAAGCAACAGTCACATTTTAGTTAAGGGTTTGATTAGCATTTTCATCAAATGTAGTAGAATGCTTGTGTTGAGGTAAGTGACTTGTTAATTTCCCATATCTAAGCTTGATGAGAGAATTTGCTGCAGGGTTTATACTTAATATATTTTTTTATAAAAACTACGTTGTACATGACTAAGTGTTCTGCCGTGGGTTATGGTGCTAATAGTTGGTTAGTAAGCAAGTTGCTGTATTAGGTCAGGTAGAATTAAGTTAAACAGTAACAATTAGGGATTATTTCATCATGAGTTTGGCTGTGGTGTTTTATGTTGTATTTTTTTTTAATTGTTTGCATAGGTATTTTGTCCAGATGTTGATACAGAGCTTGTATTTCATAGTGGAAAGTCCAGAGGGATTCTTAATGCACAAATGACAATGAAGCAGCTGTGAGTTGTTACGTTGTTTGAATTTAGGTGGTTTTGTTGATGGAGCTGTCTTGTTACCTTACTGTTTTACAAGTAATGCAATTCATTTCTGGTAATGCAAACCAGATTTGCTTTCATGTTATGATCTCACACCAGTAAAAAAGAGGCATGTTTAATGCCAGAAAAACATTGTTGTGAAGCATAAAAACTTTGGAGTAAGAACTGTGGAAACATGTTCTTGTTGAGAGATAGCCAAGGTAGCTGACTGATGGAAGGCGATAAAGTTTAGCTGTGAGAACAAGAAGTTCTGTTTCTTTTCAGTACTGTTAACTAGTGCACTGAAGAGTTTGTTTACATGTTAGTAATAATAGTGCTATATTATTTTTAATGTTATATTTCTTATTTTCCTTTTCACCATTTTTCTTATCCTGTAAGCATCCATTGCCACAGTTCCTTTTGTAAATGAGTGGTAGCTTCTGTTTTGCCTGATTTTACATTCCTCCTGAGAGACAAAAGTACTGTATCAAAATGCCAGATTTTCTTTGCAGCAGATTTAAAAATGCTAGATATGCTTCTTATCTATTTTTGGAAGCTTTTTTTAATGTTAAAATGCAATTAAGACTTGCTTATTCACTTATTTCTTCCTTAACAACTGAAAGTGTTTACTTCTTTCTCAAAACAAATTTTTTACTTCTTTTTAAACAACTCTTTATTTGTTAGGTCCTTTGATATGTTTCTGGAATCCAGTTTCTCCTAAAGCTGTGGCTCTATGATTAATATTTAAGCAAGTGGGTTTTAATCATTTTAAAGAAGACGGTTTAATATATTGGCTTATTTGAGACAGTGGGCATAATTCATTAGTTAAGGTTAACTACATTTCTTCATGTTAGTAGCTGCATGCAGAAGTGTGAAGAGTAAAGGACATGGAATTTTAATGAAGCTTACATGGAGATATGGGTTTTTTTTAACAGAAAAAAAAAGGTAAAGATATAGGAAAACTTCTAATTAATATAATAGAATCTAAACCCCTACTGTTTCTATAGAGGGTATCAAATATATAAAGCTAACAACAGGAGAGTATCAAACTAACTAGCCTTCTCCCCCACTTTTTTTGTTTTTTGGTAGTTTGGTTTGGTTTTTTTATTTGCTTTGGTTTTGGTTTTATTTGTTAAAATGTATGTTAAGTAGTTAGATTGATATATATTCCTGTTCATAGAAATATTCCTGTGCCATTATACATTTTCAATCACTTGAGAGATAATAAATTACTTCAGATGTAAAATTACCATTTCTAATGTATAAGCAGAGTAGGATCTTGAACTCTCCTTCTATCTTTGTTAATCCAGATCATTCACACATCTGTGGAAAGCTTTTAAACAGGGGGATAAATTTGTATGTTAGGGTTTTCCTCATGTCTGAATTCATGCTTTTGAGCTCTGGAGTATGTGGAAATTAATAGTATCAGTTTAGTATTTCCTCATTTGACCTCTAGCTAGGTAGCCTTTTTGACTTGTTTAATTAGAAGTGGGTCTGCTTTCTAATAAGAAACTACTTAAACGACAGAAAGATAACAGTTTCAGTTTTTAACTCAAACTCAATTGTTTTAACAGTTTTTAACTCCTTAAGTCCTCATCTGTGAGTCACAAAGGCTAGAAATAAATTTGTATAAATTTTGTTGCTGATGTGTTGCATAATACTCTTCCAGCTTCAAAGATGTAATAGCAACTTTCTTGTGAATCAATGTCAAAAGAATTCTACAGTATAAATACTGTAATTCTATTCTGTAAGAGTAGTAATATAGAAAGAAAATTGTGTATTACCAAGTTTCTAATTTTGCCAGTGGTTAAAATGCTTTAGGCACGGAAGTGCTTTAAGAATGATCTTCAAGTTTTTAGTAATGATGCAGATTACCAAGACACTTCCTTTTCTCAGTATATTAAGGCAGTTAGGGTGGTTCTAAGCCAATCAGTGAAAGGCTGTGGAGTTCATTGAGAACAATCAACTAGAGTCTGCTAGTAAGAATAATTTGTTGTCTGTTTAATGTTAGATAATCTGATGCAAAAGAAGCCACACTAATTGAAAAAGCTCGTACAAATAGTTCTTAGGGTAAAGATTAGTGTGCTTGTTATGCTTCATAAATGTTTTATTTTATTTTTGATAATTCAGTTCTGTGTGGGTGTGAAATTAAAGGAATAATGCTGTTAGCAGCATGCCAAGTTATACTGTGAATTTACCAAGGCTAAGGCTGCCCATGTGATACTAATTCAGCTTGTTATTTACGTGCATGAGGACAACATTTCATTGCTTTGTTTTATACTCTTTAAAATTAATATTAATACTTTAAAATGAGGTTGTTTGCAACTCTGCTTTTTCTGAAAGGAAAATGAAGGAAGTGATTCCAAATAGGATGGTAGTAGATACTTACCAAATTCTGGAGTGATGGACACTGACAAGATTTTTGCATAGAATTAATGTTTTTATATTTCTTGTACTGCTTCTGCTGGTCTGTCAAGTAAGCAAAGAACAGTAAACTTCCGTCACCTGCGGCTCCAGTAGGGCACTTTGCCTAGCGGTATTGTGGTTAATTTCAGTAAAAGGTACTCTGTGCCTTCTTGGTTCCCTTTCAGTGTACTTTTTCTGGTACAATGTTCAATGCTCCAAATCTGAATGACAGCTGAAACTGATAAATTTAGGACAGCATATGGTGTGAAGATGAGGCATAACTTCTTTGACAAAACAAGAAGTGTGTCCTGCTTAATTTAACTTCCGCCTCCCAGTGTTGAAGGATAATGGAAGCGGAAATACCCATCTAAGCTTAAAGCTATTATTGATTCAAGAGCAATAAAATAGAAACAGTTGTGCAGTATAGTTTAGGAGAATGAACGTTTCTAAGCGCTAGAGCAAGGAAGGGTAACTTTGCATTAGGTTTTTGTGTTGCAAGTCTCAACTGCATTCGTGAAAAGGAATGAAGGCTTGATGCCTGTAGTGCTTTGCCTGGTCTTCATCACCCCAAAGCTTTTCTGAACCCTCCCCAGAAGGAAAGGTGCTAATGGGTGCACCTCATTACTTGCAAAATCTTTCCAGCTAACTGTAGAGGTGGATTTTTTGCAGGTTCTGACAACCTATTCTAGAAAACAAGTTTCCTGATTATCATTTTATTTAATACAATGCCCTGCCCATTTAGTAGAAATGAAGCAAATTATCTGTACCAAATATTCTATAGAATATGTCATCCTAATTAATTTAATAGTCCTTGTCATTATAGGAGCCTGTTTGAGGTGTGTCTGTTCATCTTTAAGTGTCAGTCACCCTATATCAAAATTGAAACTATTTCTGTATTCTGTAATGAGCTCTTACTGGGCAATTAATTATTTTATTCAAATGTCCTGGGTTTGAAAGAGTGTGATTAGGAATGACAGTGTGGCAACAGTTCTCCATGAACTTTCTTTAAAAGCACTGTTTTATAATGGTTTGTCAAATGCATGTTAACTTTTTAACCTTATTCAAGGGAAACACATTGTAGCTGTTAAGGAAACACAGTTCTTTACAGGTATACTACAACTTACAAAACATCCCATTCCTTCTAGATATGAGATGTAATTATTTATATCTTTTTCCACCAGCCAAGTGTCTTAATCGTAAGCTACAAGGAATTTACAAAAGCAGCTTCTCAGTTTGGACCTTATAAACAAGCAGAATGGCGGCCTGACAGCACAATGATAGCTGTTTCGGTAAGTAGAATTTTTCCTGCTTACTCTGGCTAAACTATTGCAAACATAATTTTGTGTTACCAATTTCTGTGGTTATAGAAACTTGCAGATCATAAATATATTTAATTTATACTTATCTTGTGAAAATATATCACCATACCAAGGACTTTTTAGATGATAGAAGCTTTCTTTTGTAGTTTTCATTAATTTTTCCCTGATAATGAACTATGGTTTTTTGTCTTGAAACAGTGGTTAGATGTATTGGCAGGGGGTGACACAAAATCTTATTACCTTATTACTTGAGTAATCTGGTAACAAATAATATGGTAATGTAAAGTTGTGTGAATGAAAGAAAGTTGTGGACTTAGGTAACATAATCATGTTTAACTTGATAAATAGGGTTTAAAGGTGAGTCTTAAGATATGAAACTGTGGCCTTATTTCTTCTGATGGTTAAAAAATATTGCAAGTCATTGAGAACACAGAAACAAGGGCAGTGATAAGTGATACATGAACTCTACTGTTTAGAATCTTGGAGATGAGATCTTGTCTCACATGGAAATAAAGTCTTGTTTCATAGCTGGTGCAGTGTTCACAGCATCTTGGATTATTTCAGCAGCAGTATTTAAAGTCTGAGGTGCAAGGTGAGCACAAGAAAGATGGGAGTACAGTTTTTAAGAGTTGCAATGTAGGATAATCCTCTTGGTGTCTTTTGGTCAGGTCTTATCATTAGGATCAGGTCTTAAGTTAGATATTGTTATCTTAGTGGAAAACACCAGATGATTTATGGAGTAGTTTGTGTCTCTAGAATATAATGATGATCATAAATCAGCTAAGCTTCCCGTGCTCCAGTTTTCTTTTGTGTAATGCAAGTTAAAGCAAATAAGTAGTTAGTCTAAAATGTTAAAATTGCCCAGAAGTATCTGATGACATCAAGGAAGTTAAGTATTTCTGTTAGTGCCAGATTATATTCTCAGTGAGTACTAATAATTATCAATAAAGTCAGAAAGATTTCTGTAATCTTTGCTATGGGTCAAAAAGAATTCTTCAATTTTATATTGCAGCATATATGTCCAAACACATTTTAAACTGTTATGTAGTAGTTCAGAGGAAATTTGAATTTTTATATTTAATTACTTGGCATATTTTGGGTTTTTTTTTCTGAGATGTTATGTGATCCATTTGCTTAAGAGACCTTGTGGTTTAGCTGAAAGTCAGATTAGCTTTAGTTTCTGCCACTTCACTCAACTTTAAAGTTTTTCTGCAACTAAAGTTTTTCTGCAACAGTGCTCTTTTTGGCAGATAGTATCAGGACGTAAATGCCTATAAAGTCTCAGTTTGTAAGCCAAAGTTCTGTGAATTAAAATTCAAAATGGTCATCACTTATGAAATAATGACTGTAATAAGATTTCTAATATCCTTCCTGTTTCTTAGGATATTTCATCCCTGGGTGTATGTATACAAATTATATAGTCAAGCATGTTTGTTATGGTGGTTTTAGCAGAAGTTGTTTTGCAGTATCCTTTAAAAAATAGATAGTTTAATTTGGAAACAGTTATTGAGTCCTACTGAAAGACCACATTTATAGTATTGCTGGTTTAGTTTTAGTGAGACAGGGCAGAAAGTCAGTTTTCGGAGCTTTAATGAAGAATGTGTTTCTGCAGATGTGTGATACTGTCAACCCCAAGGAGAGTTCTGTCCAAGTGAATAGTTTTCTCTTTTTTCTTAACTAACACTATCAAATGAAGGAGCAATAACAAACCAAGTTTTTAATGAAAAACCCAGTAATTTTGAACTGGTGTCACTTAATTACTGAATTCCTGTGAAACAGCTAAAAATTTCAGTTTGAAAAGTGAGTTAGGTGATATTTCTCACTTATTACTACCTGTGCTCATGATAACTTGATTGTAGTAAGTTGCTCTAATAAAACTTTGTTTTTAAGAAGGTGAACATAAAGCTTAGTATGTACTTATTAGTAAGTTGTACATTCCTTTTTTGCCCCCCCCTTTTTTTTAATGACATTATCATGGGGAGTATAGTCTGAATTTTATTTTCATCATACCAGTGATATATACTATGTTTTTTGTTTCTGACAGCCCAAATATTCAAAGTGTCTTTATGAAAACAAATCACTTTGCAGCATATGCTTTGAGGTAAATAAATATTATTTGTACTGCAGGCAGACTTTGGGCCAGCCTATCAGGCTTTATAATATACCTCAAGTAACTGTAAAAGTATGCAGTTAAACAAGCTTAAACAGTTTTAAGTGTCACCATCCCTTAGAAATTCTAACTTCTTTTTCTACTAGTATCTTCTGTTGCTAAACTGTTGACACATTTCCTAGGCAGATACTATTTTTTCTGCTTATATTTTGTAGTTTCTTCTTTCATATTGCTGCCTTTTTGATTTTGCCAGTGTTACCAGGAAATACTTTTTCTTGTTTAGATTAGTACATACATGCAAAGTAGCTAATTCTAGTAGTAAATCAAATTCAGGAGTTGGGTCAAGATGCTTCATTATGGAGAAGTATTGGAGGCATTTTGGTCCTTCCTGTGTTACAGGCAGTCCTTCAATACAGACTGCTCTTCAGCATGCATTCGTATAGCTAAGGCAGAGCTTTATTAAACATGGTAGCATACAAGAAACCATGTTGTGAAATCCCTGGCAAGATTATCAGTGTTTATACTTTTGACTGTCAAAGATTAGAATGATTGGGGAATGGATGACAGTGATGGTTACTTAGTTAGTAAATTTCACTCAGACATTTTTAAAGCAATGAAACCTCTGTAAATGAATATGATCAATTTGCCAGAAGCCTGTGCTTGACTGCTTCTGCATTTCATCCCCTCTTCATGGAATCTGAGGTTATATTTAGAAATGAACCTGTAACAATAGCAAGTTTGTGCTTTGAATAGTGTTTAGTAAGGCCCTTTGTACCTTCATATCAGTATAAAGATACTTCACAGTATTGTTTTACTCTTCTTTCCAGGATAAGATAACTTAGGGGTTAAATATTTAATGATGTAATGGAAAGAACCTGTAAAGATGTTAGAAATGAACACGTTTCTTTACCACATAATACCTGAACATGATATTACAGCACAAAGAGAAGCTTCCATTTATTGTCACCCTGTCTCAAGCTCACCATTATGGTTCAAACCTTATTCTTGCTTGAAAAAAATACTTGTTTTGAGTGAGTATAATAGTGTTTCTTGGAATTTGAAGCCAAAACACAAGTTTTCTAAAGCCAAATGTTTGACTGAGGAAAGCCATGGTATCTAGGAAATGATACACTAAACTAACAAGTGTTGCTTTATTGAAAGAAAAGGAAACCAATCTTGCAAAGAAATGTGAAACCATTCATTTCACTGCTTTTTTTTTCTCCAGTGCTTTGGATACATGCCCAGCCCATATTAAAATAATTGAATGGAAACGTTATTTAACCAAAATACATTTACCAATTTCCCTGGAAAATTAATTCATGCTGTAAACAACACTTCTTTGAACACATAACATTATTGGTTATCTACTTCTTTCATGCTTATGCAAGCAGCATCTAGGTATGACTGGAACATCATGTAACTAAATGATTTGTATTTGTTCCCCGTATATAGTTTGAAGTCATTCTTCTAGAATGACAGAACATGGCTTGGGATTGAATTATTACAGGTGTTGTGGTAACTAAAGATAAGTGATATGAGGATTTTTGGAAACTACCTGGATGACCAACACTGAGAGGCAATGCCTAAACTCTTTGCATTCAGTAGTGTCTGTATGTGTTCAAACACCTGGAGAGTTTATTCAGGTACTTCCCATCTTCTACTTTGTACATTAATTCATGTAGTTGATATTACCAAGTTCTAAATATCTGAAATAGTTGTCAGGTTTTATAGGTTTGTATGACTTAGAGGAAAATTTCTGATGTACTCGTGCATAAACAGGATTTTTTTTTTTTTTGTTTTTCGATCTCCTGCCTAATCTATTCACTTGACTTTAAGGGGGGGTGTGGATTTTACCTGGAATTAATATAAACTCGCAGTATTTTAAATGTCCGAATGTATAATTGAGTTCAATATATGAGACACACAAAGAAATCATGAGGCTAACAGATTTTACTCATGCTGAGACTAGATATGTATCTTATCAGTATTTCTCTTTCAGACTGCAAATGGATACATCTTATTTTTTGAAATCCCATCAGCAAGAGACAAGTATCTTTATGAGCCAATATATCCCAAGTAAGTAGTTTAAACTTTGCATCCTCATAGTGTGAAAAAATATGACTAGACAACTTCTAAGCAGTTTTTATGACAAAAGATACTTCCTTACAGAGTATGTTTTAACACCTGCTGAGTATATGAACTATCATTCCGATGAGTTAGAGTTAGTATAGGGGAGAAATTGTGTTCAAGATTGCTGTATGCTGGTGTGATTCCTTAGGTCCGTCTTACAAGCTCTCAAAATCCTTAATAGCATGTAAAGTCTAATTTTATAAGTCAAGGTAGTCTGTTGCGTTCATGATCTGCAGCAAGATTTAATGACGCCTTTTGAGTAATTCAGTTGAAAAAAAATCTCTTGTTAGGAACTATTAAGTACAATTCAAAAATAGATCCTGTCCCAAATGTTTTCATAACTTAAGAGATTTTTTTTTTAACAATTGGGAAACAAAATCCCAGTATTTTTGAAAGCAAATTGATACTTTTTAGTAAGAATGTACAGGTATTTTTAATACAGTGTGTTATGTAGTCTGTTTAATCTTATTTTCCTTGTTGTGAATGACAAAATGCATCTTACATGTTTAAAATGTGACTGTATTTTGGGTGTGTTTGTGGTTGACTTAGTTGATTTTGGATTTTACAGAATTGGGAAATGCCTAGGAAATATTAAAACTTCAAGGAGTGTATGTGTACATGGCTCTATGTTTAGATAGGCAGAATCTGTAGTCATGGGTTGGATTGCATTTGTCTGTGCATGTAATAGCACATTCTTGATTTCTAATTGGCTAGAAATTTCTTCTTTTTTTTAAAATATATCCTTCTATGTATATTGTTATGCTAATATTAGTCAGCTTATTTTTTTCACATTCATAAAAAGAGTTAAAGTTGAATCATGGATCTCTCCATGTGGCCATCTCTGAGGAGTATTGGATAACCTAAGATGTCATGTAAGAGGAAAATATTTTGACAATTTCTTTTCAGTGTAACTGTTACACCATGAAAAGAAAATAAAGGAGGTTTTCAAAAGTATTTAAACTCAGAATCTGTCTTCTTTCACAAATATGTTTAAGAAGAAATTACTTAGCAGGTAGTAAATTATTTAGAAGTTAATTTTCCTGTACTGACTAGAAAATTTTTTATGTATTATGGCTATATTTTTTGTGTATTAATGGCCATATTTTGACCTCTGAAATAGCCCTCAAAGCTCTGAAATTACCTGGAATTTATTGTTGCAATTTTCTTTTTTTTCAGAACTTAAGACTAATGTAGACAAGTTATATTACTTTACTTGCCTCTTTGGAGAACTGAATAGCAGTTTTCAAACTGACTCTTCCATATCTGGCTTCCTGTCATCAGGGGAAGAGGCAGACAGTCCATAGCTGCAACTTGTCCAAATAAATAAAGTGGTAGTATATCCTTGGCTGTACATTACATAATGCAGAAAACTAAGCAGTAGTTTATTTTGAGTTTTTCTTGTTCTTTTTGGAAAGTTGGGGGGGTATTTTAATTGGCAAAATCTGAAAACTTATGGAAATATATATAAAACACACAGTAGAAGTTGAAAAAGAAGCTTTGGAAAGTTTGCTTAGAATATCACTTGTAGGAAGGCTTAAAAATACCTTTTAAGACATCAGTGACTAATCAGTCTAACTTTTATGAACTTATATCAAACTTTAATAAAACTTGAGTAATTGATATGAATTGTTGACTCAAAATGCATATGTTAGTTTTATTTTGAACAATCAGGGTTTTAAAATACATCTGTGTTGCCCTAAAAGGACTATAATGCAGATTCTGTAGATGAGTAGGACAAGGTGTTTGTCCCTAGTGTGTTTATAATAGGTTACTCACAGTATCCTAAGACTAATGTGTGTACTTACCTTTAAGAAGATTAATGATCTCACTGAATTTAATGGGATTACTAGCTTGTCTATACTTAGCCCTCAATTTTGAAAACCTAAATAAAATTACTACTGTTCTGATTATATTAGATCAAAATAAAGACACAGGCATTTGTAGGTGAAATGTGCCTCCTGTGATTAATGTCAAATGCTTATTTTAAGTTATTAAAATGGAATGAACTTCTTTTGCAGGTGCAGATACAGTGCACTGCCTGTAGGCAGTCTCACTTATTTTCATTGTAGAGCAAATACTTGGCAGGGGGTTAATCAAACAAAAACCCTCCAATCTAAAATGAACAAACAGACAAATGAGACCAAAAGATAGAACTGAAACTTTTATCTTTCTTTTGGCATATGTTCATTTCCCAAAGGCATTATTTCGTTTAAATGCTTGGATTTCACTTCTTCTGGGTTGAAAAATACCAAATTAGTTTTCTTCACTCTGAAGCCATTACAGATCAGTGAAAGACCTTGTATGTGACTTGCCTCATGCTTGAAAGGGGACATCTTACTGCTTTCTCCCCCTATAACAGCGTGTTCTTGGCTCCTTCCTCTGTGTTGGCAGCAGTGATTATGCAGCTGTGCATTAAGTAAAGTTGGGTTGTTGACCTGATGGAGAAACTAAACCTGCCTATCTCCCTTTTTTAACTCTCCCTATCCCCTGCCCTGGATTCTAGTAGCTTAGTTTGCAAGTTAGCATTTAATAAAACACTGGCATTAGAAAATGCTGACTTTGAAGTAGCACTGGGTAGCTACACTGAGAATTTGAAAAACATTAAGTAGCTGTTCAATGATACTTGTATAAATCTTATGATTCATGGTAAAGCAATTGCTTGAAACATTTTTACTGTCATGGAGATATTAATTAATGAATCTTCCAGTTCTGTTTTGTGTGGTTATTTACCTGTGCTGGGCAAAGTGAGAGAGGGTGATGACTTTTGCAAGAAGCGTGAGGGTGTCCTTGCATTAACAAAGTTGCAAACAGCTGCTGGACACAAGTCAATAAAAACTGAGATGAATGTTCAGTCATGTTCTGCTTTTAAAAATTATTACTAATTCTCAGTGTTTATTAAGTGCCCATATCTACTAACTTTTTGTAAGCAGAATGAAGCCAGTTCTTTAGTAGCTGTTCTTTGAATACTAGTGGCCAGTTCTGGCAGAAATAGAAAATTTCAATGTCATGACTACAATGAGAAAGGGAAACCCTCTTAATAAAACTTCTTGAACAGAATTCTTAAGCTGTGCATGTCAATATAACAAGGTGGTCATGCACTGGAAATACACACCAGTAACATCCTTAGCTGTGCCAAAATACTGGTCTAGTGTAAAATTTCTTAGTTTAGTCAGGATCCTGAAGTTGAAATTGCAGCTAGGTTTCTTAACATGCAGTTGAAAATACTGAGAATGGTGTGTTTAGATCCTTTTGTCAACTTAGCTCTCATTTAAACAAAATGTGTGTATTTTACCATACGTGAAAGAAAAAGTGGTTAGTCGGAAAAGCAAGTACTAGGTATGTGATAGATAATTTCTTGACTTCATTAGTTTTTTGCAGTCTTCAAGATTGGGACACTGGTAACTGAAGTAAAGTAACTTCATGTGGTATTGGTACTTTTTTGATAACTAAAATTTGCTTGATGATGGTTTAGCTTTGATTTGGAGAAAAGGATCAAATGAATTGCTGTAAGTCAAAATCACTCATCAGTTGTCTGTATGGGAGAGAGATGTTTGTGGAGAAAATGTCCTTCCAATTTATAGTTACTTTTTTACAGAGTTGTTACTCTATGTATCTGTTGAGCAAGATGTACCAGAAGAGCTTGCCTGTATCTGGTGTGTTAACTATTCTAGCATACAGCTATTGTGTAAACTATAATTACACTTATGGAAGTTTCTCATTAGTCCATCTTAAACAAAAAAATTCAATGTGGAGAGCAGAACAAAACTGTATGAGAAGTGACAGAAACACTTGTGCTGTTTATAACTCAGTATGCATTGTAGTACATCTAATTGTAGCATGATTTATTTTCAGGGCCAAGTCTCTCTTTTTCTCTTTTTTTCTCAGTCTAATCAGCACATATTTAGTAAAAGAGCTAAAGTGTGAATTGAGGCTAAGATGCCATCTTGTTTGAATGCCAGAGTCTTTGCTTTTCCTTATCTTTCAGTATTATGAAATACAGAGATTTTGTAAAGTAAGGTTGAGTGAACTTCCCTTGCACCCTACTATTGTTTGTTTTAAACCAGACAGAATCAGAGCCTAGGAAAATTGATTTCCTGTTTAAAAATGCACATTTTGCATGATTCCCTCCTTTTCATATTGACCAATTGTAATCATCTTTATATTCTGAAATCTGGTGTTTTAATTAAAGTACTAAATCCCAAAATTAACATTTGTGGTTGGAGCCCACAAATCTGTTGAAGTTTGTTGTATTAGTAACTGAGGACATGGTCTTATTAAATTTAGAATATGTTGAATACTTTAAGAAGGTTTAGTAGGCAATACTTCTTACACTCCATTTTATACCTTTAGACTTTTAATCTATATAAAATCTACTTATGTGGGTGTGGTAAGAGTTAGTCAACTAACCTGTTCAGTATTATGCATATTATGTATAAAAACCTGTTACTGGATTTATATGATAAAACAAGTGCTTATGCCATAAGTGCAGCATACGAATATTTATGTATAGAAAAGGGAACTTTCATTTTTACTGCTGGAATCCATTGGCAGTTTTTTGTCATATTGTGATATTTTAAGAATGTAGTTTTTCTGCCAAAAAAATGTTTCTGTAACTGTTGATATTTGGCTAGGAATTGCCAGTCTGTTCATGGAGTGAGCTGCCATTCATGCTTAGTGAAAATTTACAGTATCCTGCTTAATATGTGAGACTAAAAATAGGGGGAAGAAAGCAGTAATTGTATGGTGTTTAGTTTTTTAAAATTGAGCTAGAGTAGCCTGCAGATTTATTCCAGCTCTTGGATGCTTTTCTCCAGTTCAGAGCAGATTTGGAAGAGAATCAGTATTGGCCATTAGACCACATTCTGGGATATTTTCCTACAGTGAGCACAAGTACAAAGTCCTGCTTCAATTAGTTCGGTCTGGTTTTTCCACCCAATTCCTAAAGT